ATACGCGACATCGCATATGGGAAGTTGGTGTGCGAATGCCTACGACGGGAGCTGCTGAAGATGGACGGACGCCATTTAAAGGGGGAATCAGAATAAACATTAACGCAACACTTATATTGTAGATCCAAGAGAGAAGAGAAAAAGAGATTTGAAGCACCATTACCAATTTACAACGTATTCACATTGTATATGTGTAGGGCAAAAGATGGTAACAATTGTCTTTGTTGACTGTCCTGTGCATAAGCATTAGCTTATTCCATGAAATAACAAACAGGGCGTTTAATACACCATTCAAGATTTTCTCATTATGTTTATTCATCCTTTCGATTCAGTCATGGTGTTTTCTCCATCAGCATCATCCAAGAACATGATTATTTTAAATCAACTGGAAACACTGGACAGAACCATAAACGGCGTGCTGCAAATTGCAGGCCCTTTCTAAAATAAATTCAACTGAATCCAAGGGACACATAATGTCTCCTCAGAGATCATAGGTACCACTAACCACAATGGTAAGAAGTTACACAATTTCGAATATGCGAACCCAATAACCCATAATGACAGGGGTTTCCGAACAAAAAAACCCCAGAAATACATCACTAATACAAACAAAGATTTGTCATTTGCAAATCCAATAACCTAAAAATACAAATCCATTTCAAGGTTTACAAATAAAAAACCAAAAATACAGTACTAATACCATTAATATAATTTAATACAAGTGATTCGTACTTGTGTGACAGCGAGCGAGAGATGGGTTTGAAAACACTGAATCTTTGAAACATATGAAAAAAATATATCACATGAAATAAATTGAGCAAAATACCTTCGAAAATTTTTAGGGGCATTTTGGTCATTTTATTTTTCACGAATAATTTTTTTTTATATTTTTATTAGGTACGCCTTGATGAAAAGAATACCAAGTGATTTGGATTTGTAGAAAAAAACTTAAAATTCAAACACGAAATGAAGTCGTGACCGTTAGATCGGCCTATATTCAATCTGGACTGTTAGGCTCATATGAACATATGAGCTAGTGGGCTAATCCCCGCTTTTTCATATATATATATATATATATATATATATATATATATATATATATATATATATATATATATAGTAGTATATATATATATATATATATA